CGACTTCCGGCTGACTCCAACGGGTCACGAATCTGGGGGATGACCAACGATTGCAAAGGCAATTGGCGCGCCCCCGAGAAAGTTTCGGCAGTGAGGTTGGGAGCTGCCTTCGACCCGCTGCCTTCAGATGGCCCAGCCGTGGGACGACAATGTTACGACCTCTGAGGCTTGGCAAACGACCTTGGCTCCTGCCACAAACTGGCGCGGAGAGAGACGTTCTGAAGGGCCCTCCACTGAGCCCGCACCTCCACCAGGCCCGAAGGCCCCCGGCTTCGGAAATGGCTGCCGTCCGCAGCAGCAGCAGCGAAGTCAGCTGCGGGAGCCGACGGAAAGCGTGTTCCTGTTGAGGCACCGCGGTTTACGCACACGTGTGCCAGGGGCATGTGTGAATACCGTTCTTCTCCTTTTTCATCCATCTATCCTGATATCCCTCCGACAGGTATTGGACTGGATATTGTGCCCGATGTTCATCGGGCCGTGAGCGGAGAAGCACGCTATCTCTGCCTCACCTTGTCCTCTACCGAGAACCCCAACGGTAGGTTCGACCTTTTGGTTGTCAACCTCCGTTCACCGGGCACGAGTCGGCAATAATTGCCATAGGCACGGTGGCGGCCCCCGAGCCTCGGCAGGGCGACCGGGCGCGAAAGACGACCATCGAGCAGCGAGACCGGGAAAGTTAGCAGCACAAGCGCGCGGTGTGCAGCAGTAGGATCGCGAAGAGCTTCGCCAGAAAGCAGGCGTCTCCTGAGGGAGCTGGGCCCAAAAGTTATCTGGCCGTCTTCGGGCTCCTGCGGCGGTGGACGATTCAATTATTTATGAGGAAACGGCGATGCGGAGGAGGAGGAGGAGGAGGAGGAGGAGGAGGAGGGGAGGAGGAGGAGGGGAGAGAAGGAGGAGGGAGGGGCAGGGGCAGGGGGAGGGGGAGGAGGAGGGGAGGAGGATTCTGTTTGCTGTTCAACTGTGCCATGGGTAAGACAGCACAGCCGTCGATAATGAAGCCTCCCCCGCTCCAGGCTTTCACTGGGCGAGGGGGCCCCAAAAACTTCGCAGTTGAAAAATCAACAACTGCGATGTTGGCGGCGCCGAGCACTGGCCGCGCTGCAGCACGGCGTGGGCGTTCCGCGCTCACCCGCCGAGGCAGCGCGCTCCGCGCGCCGCCGCGGTTTCCTCCTCCTCCTCCTCTTTCCTCCTTCCTCCTCCTCTCCTCCTCCTCCTCCTCCTCCTCCTCCATCCTCCTCCTCCTCCTCCTCCTCCTCCTCCTCCTCCTCCTCCTCCTCCTCCTCCTCCTAGTCCTCCTCCTCCTCCTCCATCCTCCCCAGCCCCAGGGGGGGGAGTGGACCGCAACGGCACTGTGAGCCCCGGGGGGGGGGGACAGAGGAAAAGAGGAAGGGAGGAGTCAAGAGAAACGAGGAAGGAAGGGGCACAGTCCCGCTGCGGCCAACTCCCCCCCCCGGGGTGGCGTGACCCCTCCCGCCTCTGCCAGTCCTCCAGCTGGTCGCCGGCTCTATTTTGCCCCGCCAATGCAGGTGGCGCCGACCGCCCGCCAGCTATGCTGGCGGGGGCGCCCTGGCTGAGATGGAGGAGGGGAGGGGGAGGAGGAGGAGGAGGAGGAGGAGGAGGAGGAGGAGGAGGAGGAGGAGGAGGAGGAGGAGGAGGAGGAAGAGGGGGGTCGCCTTCGCCGTCTTCGGAAGGCAGGAGCCTCGGTTGTTAAGGTCCACCGTGCTGGGCGTCAGGCGGGCGCTTTGCGGGGGTCCGCGGCGGTAGGCACTCCTCCTCGCAAGCTCAATTGTCTGCGCCTGGCCGCCGTGAGGTCCATGTACAAGGATAAGGGCAGCACAGCCGCGGGGCTGACATTGAGGACTTCGAGGGAGGGTAAGGAGGTTGACCCGCTCCCCACCTACCATGCCAATGTAGTTTTTCAATGGGCCAGGGCTGTTTGGGAGGGGGTGCCCAAATTTTCTGTCATGCTGCAGGTTTTTACGGCTGCCTTCAACCAGATAGGAGCTTCTAGGAAACCGTGGAGCATTGCGACGTCGCCGGCGCACGTCGTGGCGCTGAGCTTCCAGTACTTGGGTTGGACACCTCGTTCGTGCCGCCTAGTTCGCACTGCGACCGGGTTCGAGGTGGACATGTTGCAACTGTCGCCTGTTCAGGTCAGGGAGCCGGCCCGGCAGGCCGCCCTCGACGGTTCGGACATCAAGTCGCTGTCGAACCGCACCACCTCGTCGTCGCGGTTGCGGTCCATTTTCTGGGAGCCTCTCCATTATCTTTTGGGCCGCAAGCCCACGGCGGGCTGGACGGAGAGGCGCGTGCATACGCTGCGCAGCCTCGTTTCGATGGAGTTTTGGGTCCAGGACCGCCTCCACCAGCACCAGTTGTCGAACTCCAACATTTGTAGGCTGTGCGGTGAGGAGGCCGGCACCTTGTTTCATCGCCGTTTTTGCTGCGCCCCGTGGGCGCTGGATCGTAGGCACCATTGTTCGAATCTGCTTCTGCGGACAATTCTGGCGGCTCAGCTACTAGGACAAGATCTCAGCAAATTCGCGTGTGGTATCTTCCCTGTCCCTTGGGAGCTGGCTCCGAGGCCGCTCATGTCCACGGAGGCAGGTGTACATTGGGTCAATAGGCCTGCGTCCGGCTGGATGTCGGGCACCATTTTTTCAGACGGGAGCGCATTTTACCCTGGTCTGCCGTTTCTTCGGCGGGCCGGCTGGGCACTTGTGATGAGCGCCTTATCGTTGCAGCGTATGGTGCGGTGCCTGTCGA